CACTGGGGCCTCCGATTTGAAAGCTTGAAATAGGTCCATGACTTTCTCTTTTGTGTACAAATTTCCAGAAAGGTTTGATGCTTGAATTCTCAGGGGAAACCAAAAAAGAGTGCCATTATAACCATCTGTCAAAGACTTGTCTGAGAACCCAAATGTACCACACAGGACCAGAGTTAAAATACTCTTCACTCTATCAGACAGATTCCAGAACTTTTGGAGAAACACACTTTATGTGCCACTTGTTCTGGATTGATGAAGAGGATTTGATCACCGCTGATGATGCATGGGTAATCTGAAAAGTACAGCACAAGTTTTAGAAAGATAATATCAGTCAAGGTCTGGACTTTGATGACAGTGATTATTCATGTCATCAACATGTTATCAGTTAATTCTTTGATTGAAGTCTTTTGCAACTCAACTGGCTATACCTCTCTTGCTGCACTGTCACATGCATATTACCTAAGATATTATACAGACGCCACCATCTAGATTGGATAACACAAGACAGGAAAAATGACAAATAGGAACCACTAATTGCTATATACAGGCAGCATTAAATAATACCCTTGACACCTTCAGAGGCAGGGTTGATCAATATTGAGTTATTTGGCACAGTCTAGATAATCCAAGTTCTGTCAGCACTAAATAATTCCCTTGACGCCTTCAGAGGCAGGGTTGATCTATATTGAGTTATTTGGCACAGTCTAGATAATCCCAGTTCTGCCAGCACTAAATAATACCCTTGACGCCTTCAGAGGCAGGGTTGATCTATATTGAGTTATTTGGCACAGTCTAGATAATCCCAGTTCTGTCAGCACTAAATAATACCCTTGACGCCTTCAGAGGCAGGGTTGATCTATATTGAGTTATTTGGCACAGTCTAGATAATCCCAGTTCTGTCAGCACTAAATAATGCCCTTGACACCTTCAGAGGCAGGGATCTATATTGAGTTATTTGGCACAGTCTAGATAATCCCAGTTCTGCCAGCACTAAATAATACCCTTGATGCCTTCAGAGGCAGGGTTGATCTATATTGAGTTATTTGGCACAGTCTAGATAATCCAAGTTCTGTCAGCACTAAATAATGCCCTTGACACCTTCAGAGGCAGGGTTGATCTATATTGAGTTATTTGGCACAGTCTAGATAATCCCAGTTCTGCCAGCACTAAATAATACCCTTGACGCCTTCAGAGGCAGGGTTGATCAATATTGAGTTATTTGGCACAGTCTAGATAATCCCAGTTCTGTCAGCACTAAATAATACCCTTGATGCCTTCAGAGGCAGGGTTGATCTATATTGTGTTATTTGGCACAGTCTAGATAATCCCAGTTCTGCCAGCACTAAATAATACCCTTGACGCCTTCAGAGGCAGGGTTGATCTATATTGAGTTATTTGGCACAGTCTAGATAATCCCAGTTCTGCCAGCACTAAATAATACCCTTGACGCCTTCAGAGGCAGGGTTGATCTATATTGAGTTATTTGGCACAGTCTAGATAATCCCAGTTCTGCCAGCACTAAATAATGCCCTTGACGCCTTCAGAGGCAGGGTTGATCTATATTGAGTTATTTGGCACAGTCTAGATAATCCCAGTTCTGCCAGCACTAAATAATACCCTTGACGCCTTCAGAGGCAGGGTTGATCTATATTGAGTTATTTGGCACAGTCTAGATAATCCCAGTTCTGCCAGCACTAAATAATGCCCTTGACGCCTTCAGAGGCAGGGTTGATCTATATTGAGTTATTTGGCACAGTCTAGATAATCCCAGTTCTGCCAGCACTAAATAATACCCTTGACGCCTTCAGAGGCAGGGTTGATCTATATTGAGTTATTTGGCACAGTCTAGATAATCCCAGTTCTGCCAGCACTAAATAATGCCCTAGATTGCACTAAATAACACCTTCAGAGGCAGGGTTGATCTATATTGAGTTATTTGGCACAGTCTAGATAATCCCAGTTCTGCCAGCACTAAATAATGCCCCTTGACACCTTCAGAGGCAGGGTTGATCTATATTGAGTTATTTGGCACAGTCTAGATAATCCCAGTTCTGCCAGCACTAAATAATACCCCCTTGACGCCTTCAGAGGCAGGGTTGATCTATATTGAGTTATTTGGCACAGTCTAGATAATCCCAGTTCTGCCAGCACTAAATAATGCCCTTGACACCTTCAGAGGCAGGGGTTGATCTATATTGAGTTATTTGGCACAGTCTAGATAATCCCAGTTCTGTCAGCACTAAATAATACCCTTGACGCCTTTCTTCAGAGGCAGGGTTGATCTATATTGAGTTATTTGGCACAGTCTAGATAATCCCAGTTCTGCCAGCACAGCACTTAAATGGCACATAGATAATCCCAGTTCTTCAGCACTAAACACCCTTTCAGAGGCAGGGTTGATCTATATTGAGTTATTTGGCACAGTCTAGATAATCCCAGTTCTGTCAGCACTAAATAATGCCCTTGACACCTTCAGAGGCAGGGTTGATCTATATTGAGTTATTTGGCACAGTCTAGATAATCCCAGTTCTGCCAGCACTAAATAATACCCTTGACGCTTTCAGAGGCAGGGTTGATCTATATTGAGTTATTTGGCACAGTCTAGATAATCCCAGTTCTGCCAGCACTAAATAATGCCCTTGGCCTTCAGAGGCCCTTGAGTCTAGCACTAAATAATACCCTTTCAGATACCCTTGACGCCTTCAGAGGCAGGGTTGATCTATATTGAGTTATTTGGCACAGTCTAGATAATCCCAGTTCTGCCAGCACTAAATAATACCCTTGACGCCTTCAGAGGCAGGGTTGATCTATATTGAGTTATTTGGCACAGTCTAGATAATCCCAGTTCTGTCAGCACTAAATAATGCCCCTTGACGCCTTCAGAGGCAGGGTTGATCTATATTGAGTTATTTGGCACAGTCTAGATAATCCCAGTTCTGTCAGCACTAAATAATACCCTTTGACGCCTTCAGAGGCAGGGTTTGATCTATATTGAGTTATTTGGCACAGTCTAGATAATCCCAGTTCTGCCAGCACTAAATAATGCCCTTGACGCCTTCAGAGGCAGGGTTGATCTATATTGTGTTATTTGGCACAGTCTAGATAATCCCAGTTCTGCCAGCACTAAATAATATGCCCTTTGACACCTTCAGAGGCAGGGTTGATCTAGCACAGTCTAGATAATCCCAGTTCTGCCAGCACTAAATAATACCCTTGACGCCTTCAGAGGCAGGGGTTGATCTATATTGAGTTATTTGGCACAGTCTAGATAATCCCAGTTCTGCCAGCACTAAATAATACCCTTGACGCCTTCAGAGGCAGGGTTGATCTATATTGAGTTATTTGGCACAGTCTAGATAATCCCAGTTCTGCCAGCACTAAATAATGCCCTTGACGCCTTCAGAGGCAGGGTTGATCTATATTGAGTTATTTGGCACAGTCTAGATAATCCCAGTTCTGCCAGCACTAAATAATGCCCTTGACGCCTTCAGAGGCAGGGTTGATCTATATTGAGTTATTTGGCACAGTCTAGATAATCCCAGTTCTGCCAGCACTAAATAATGCCCTTGACGCCTTCAGAGGCAGGGTTGATCTATATTGAGTTATTTGGCACAGTCTAGATAATCCCAGTTCTGCCAGCACTACCAAAATACCCTTTGAGCACTTCACCCTTCAGGCAGGGTTGATCTATATTGAGTTATTTGGCACAGTCTAGATAATCCCAGTTCTGCCAGCACTAAATAATACCCTTGACGCCTTCAGAGGCAGGGTTGATCTATATTGAGTTATTTGGCACAGTCTAGATAATCCCAGTTCTGCCAGCACTAAATAATACCCTTGACGCCTTCAGAGGCAGGGTTGATCTATATTGAGTTATTTGGCACAGTCTAGATAATCCCAGTTCTGCTAGCACTAAATAATGCCCTTGACGCCTTCAGAGGCAGGGTTGATCTATATTGAGTTATTTGGCACAGTCTAGATAATCCCTGTTCTGTCAGCACTAAATAATGCCTATAATAAAGTCATCAACTGAGCATCATGTGAATGACGAGAAATGCACAAGTGAAGGGCTCATACAGTAAAACATGGATGACTAGAAAGAAGTTGTAATTATATGCAATTTCCCTGAAAATTTAAGGGTCCTTGCTGTTTGGAAAATATTAAATGACTTTAACAGTTTTACAAAAAAAATAATATGTAAATGTAATTACTGTGTACTTAAGTACATAATTGTACATACACATTTCCACACGTGAATGAATTTGCAAGAAGAAAGGTTTTGGTTGGCGTAATCTGATCAAGTATGTATTCTGTAAATATAAGGGTTGGGTAATGGGATATACTCAGCATAGGATAAAAAATTAATATTTTTACAGTCTAAACCGGCACCCCACGGGGCCGAAATAAAATGCCGGTTTAGACAGGGTCGCGGATTAGACAGTGACGATCATTTTCCAACATGGCTGATATTCACACTTGTCAATCTCTTTATTTCTATAATGCCTTTGATCTTTTGTAATTGTGCAACAAATTAACACAATGTTGATGACAGATAATTATTCTTTATTCAGCACTAAACAACCTTGTGCAAACTGAAGAGCCTTTTCTTGCAGAATGGGATCAGAGATAGGTAAATATTTGCAAACAACTCTCTTATACCAACCTGTAATATGGAATACTGATTTGAAACCAAGTCCAAATTGTCCGATTTTCTGAGGTTCATCCTTGAGGCTAGTATACAACATACTGACACCAGTCCAATCCTTCTTTGTGAATAAAGCATCATTGTAGACACACAACGCAGGAGCCTGCCAAAATATTGATCAATATAACTGAACAATTTGATGAAGTCATGAATACACACTGATAGCACTGAACTTATTGTCCATGTGACACATGAATGAATATGAACAAACAGCTCTCAACATTTATAAAATTGGAAATCCCAATGACAAGGAATATCAAGAGTGGTAAGTATTGATAGCTACTTAAGCCATTGTATCCTGGTTGTCGGTATTGAAAGAATTGAATTACTTCACACCCGATTTAACCACTGAGAAGAGTCTAATCATGCGATATTACTATCTGAATACCTGCAAGGATTTCAGAAACGCGTTCTGTTTCAGTTCCTTGGCATCTATATCAGGTTGAATAGTCCTTCCATCATACAAGATGTCAACAACTTCGGCTCCTGCATCCTCAGCATTCTGTATCAGCTCCTGCAATTTGTTACACAACAACAGTTTCATTATAAACATAGTCATGAAGTACATGTATATCATAAAGACAGCATTATTCAGTAAAAGCCCATAAAACCAGTTCTGTTGGGTTGCATGAATCATGCACACCAGTGAAGTAATCAATTAAGTTTCTCTTAGCTGTTGGACTATTACAGATGAATGTCTTTTGGGGTATAAAAATATCATTTATACTTATCCTGACTCATACTAATTGCTTATCTCTTCTCTTCTTCCCAAGAATAGAAAAACATCTCACCCAAATTAAAACCATGAATTGGTCGGTCCATCAGAGGCACATGACAAGCCAGTGAACTCGTCACTCTAGTTATGTTATATGTCATGTCTAGTGATGTCCTAGGAAGACTTGATAACATAAAACTGTTGTGGGAGACCATCACTTTACTCCATGTTAGTTTTGGCCTACACGGACGCACGTTGCCCATGGACCAGTCATTGTGCACAGCCTCTTAGGGAGTAATCATTATGCAACATCTCCCTTTCTTTAGAAAAGTAAAGACAGCAATTAACACACTAACCCAGCAAACAATTTAAACAATGCTAAAACAGGTTAAAATGAACAAAATTAAAGTTCTTGAGAAATTAAAAGTCTTTTCTCCTTCTGACAAGCAGGACCACACGTCATATCTTCCTCCCTTTTTGCTTTTTCTTTTTTTTTAAGGCACAAAGTCCCGGTATCGGGGTGGTGGTCTGACCACCCTGCCTCTCCTCAGTCTGATCTCATGACCAGGTGCTGTGCCATGAACAGAACTGGCCATGATCCTAGTTACTTTAGGAGTGTTCACAGGAGTGTTAAAACTTTTCACAGGAGTTTTCACAGGGGTTTTCACAGGAGTGTTATCAGGAGAGTTCACAGTTGACTGAACCTCTTTCATTGACCTTTCATCCATTTTCTGCTCTTCCAAATCCATTTCCACATCTTTAGTCTCAGGGGCAGCCTCTTGAGATTTTCTTAGATGGCATCTATTTCTCGAAAGAGATCTTCCATCTTCTGTACGTATGTCATACGATTGTACATCCACTTGCTGTTCTACGACAGCTTTCTTCCATTTCTTTTTTGTCATGACTGAATGGCTTCACCCGAACTACATCTCCATCTCTCAGTTCTGAAAGTTCAGCTGCACCGCGATTGTAGTAGTAAGCTTGTTTGGACCTCTTGCTGGAAAGTGCGGCAGGGATGTTTTCAATAGTTTTCGGCTGCAGTAATCGACTTTACGTTGCTAGCTTCATTCTCGTTCTGCGCCCAAACAACCTTTGAACTGGCGAGCTGCCTACACCGTCAGTTGGCACATTTCTCAAGTCCAATAGGCCCAGAAAGGGGTCTGACTGTGCATGCTGAGACTTACTCATGAGTCTCTTGACGATCTTCACAGCACTCTCCACTTTCCAATTCGACTGTGGGTACCAGTGGGAGATGAAGTGATAAGATCAAACTCATACTCAGTTGCAAATGTATGGAAAGCTTCAGAACTAAAGGGAGGTCCGTTGTCTGACACAATCTGATTGGGAAGTCCATCCCTCGCCAAATGGGATTTCAACCTTTTAATGATTTCAGGTGCCCTTTTATCATGCAGTCTGTCAACCTCAAATTAGTCTGAGTAGTAGTCAACAGTGATCAAAAAATCTTTTTGATCAAACTCAAAAAGATCACACCCTAGTTTCTCCCATGGACGACTAGGTATTTCATGACTGACAAATGGCCCTCCTCTTTGATCCTGTTGCAGCATATTGCAAGTATCACACTTGCTGATGAAATCTGTGAGGTCAGCGGCCATATTGGGCCAATACACAGACTCTCTGGCTCTTCTGAAACAACCTTGTATCCCCAAGTGACTGTAGTGAATTCTTTCCATGATGCCAGGGTGGATACTGACTGGCACAACAACACGTTCACCCTTGAACACTATGCCATTTTGAACAGAGAGCTCATCGCGAAAGGGGAAAAAGACCCTGGCACACCATGGCACATCATCTGACGACGTTGGCCAGCCGGCCTGAATCAGATCCTTCAGTATCATCATTGATTTGTCTTCCACAGTTGCTTTTTGTAACTGGTCAATTCGTTCCTCAGATATTGGCACATACTCAACCATGATGATGGATTCAACGTCAAGCGCTGTCTGACATCGAACATCAGCAGCAAACACATCTCCGTCATCGGTCTCAGTATGTTTCACATGTGGAAGATATGCTCTACTCAGAGCGTCAGCAAAGAACATTTGAGATCCCCTCTTGTAGATGACCTCAAAACACTTCTGACAGCATGTTATGTTATATGTCATGCCTGGTGATGTCCTAGGAAGACTCGATAACATAAAACTGTGGTGGGAGACAATCACTCCATGTTGGTTTTGCCCTACACGGACGCACGTTGCCCATGGACCAGTCGTTGTGCACAGACTCTTAGGGAGTAATCATTATGCAACAACTCTCTCATTTGCATATCCCAATCAGTCTGTATCTGAAACTGGATAGCGGTGGTGGCTGGGCGAGCGCTCTAGCATATGAGTCAGGATAAGTGTAAATGATGTCCGCCATGATGTTGCTGGAATATTGCTTAAAGCGGCGTAAAACCAAACTCAGTCAGTCAGTAAATGATGTTTTTATTAAAATAAATACATATTTTACCTCATCCTGACTAATTGCTTGAATCCCGCAGTTGGCGGTGGGATCCACTGTTTGTGAGATTCAGAATGACCATCCGTTCTACTTGCCCCAAACGTTTTTCTGTATACTTCTGGACATACCTTTTTCCTTCTTCCATTGGGCAACCACCTCCAAACTTGTGAGAGAAAGAATGAATCATTTTGATTCTGTGGATTTGGTAAGCACACTTAGAACTAGATTCCAGCTTGCTTATCTACGATTAACTTTTTCAGAGAATGATCCATAATCTTACATGGATCATCCTCAGTAGCGAAGTGATAATGATTTGCAAACACTCTGTCCGACTGAAAGAAACATCCTTTCATGATGGTATGGATAGAGCAGTTGCCATGTATTGATAGTGTGTGAGTGGGATGAAGAGACGCCTTAGTGTCTGGCTTCCAGTGCTCATTATATGCTCACGTCTATAGATGCATTGGGCTCTAACCAGATAGAGTAATAAATCCTCTAACCAGATAGAGTAATAAATCCTCCTCATCTCTGTTGCCAAGTACTAAAGATAATGGTGGGATATGAAACTGAGGGTCTGGCTGACCTGGCAATTTATTTGGGGCAATAAAATCCAAACAAGACCAAGGTGCACTGATACATTTGGTACATTATCAAATCTGGTACGACTGAAATCTATGGCATGGATTCTGGCTGCTGTAGCTAGGCCCCAGTGCTTTCTGCATCAAATGTTCGAATCAAGCTTAGCTGGTTAGAGTGTTAATATACAAGGCCGCCTGCTGGCAACCCTTTAGTCCTCGCAAGTTGGTCAAATGTCTTCCATTTATCATAATACCAGCTTCTAATGGATCTGTGTAGAACTGGCAAAAGCTTCATGCCGTAAATTAGCCTGAACTTCTCTGAAGAATTTGTTTTGGGTCCAAGGAAGATTGATGAATAATATCCCAGATCTAGTGCCTGTTGAGGTATAATCTCTAAAGTGTAATGCTTCTGTTAAGTGTGGCAGTAGTGTTTTGCATAATTTATGATGAAGCCATTCCTTAAAGTGTTCGTAACGAACACATCGTCCAGAAGTTCTAGTCTGGCCGATACTTTTGTAGTCTTCCTCCTATTGCTGAATGTTACACTTGAGCAGTTGGCATTTTATGCCCCCAGTTGTTTAAGTGTCGCATTCAGCAATAGGAGGAAGACTACAAAAGTATCGTCCCGTCTGAACTTCTGGATGATGTTTTCATAACGAAGAACTAGGGGTGGAAAATCCCAGTTGCTCAAGTGTGCCCCTTCACCTTTAGGACCTAACACACCGTTCCCAGCCACAGAAGGATTGGTCCCTCAGTTGGATGTACGGCTTCCGAAAGGGCTGCTTCTTGCCGGAATATCTCTTATCCTTTGCCTTTTGGATGCTAGAGAATCTTCTCTTGAAGGAGGATATCTGAGAAGACTGTCTAAAGATGGAATTCTATGATGACTTAAAGTGCGATTACACAATGCCATTTAGAAAGTGGTCAAATGTAACATATGTTATATTTGGGATTACACTTTCTTAGTAAAGTACAAATTCTAGTACTTTTTGAGTTGAGCCCCATTCGGGTTTCAAACTCACACCCTCAGAGTCAGGCACCTAATTGCCAGCACACAAAGTCAGCTGCCTAACCCACTCAGCTACCGTGACTTCCACAAAAATGAAAGTCGGACAACTGGTAGTCTAGACTGCGGACTTTGTGTACCCCTCTGATGAGTGTTAACTGGCACGGCTCCCACGGCTGAAAGCTATGATTACACAATGCCATTTAGAAAGTGGTCAAATGTAACATATGTTATATTTGGGATTACACCTTCTTAGTAAAGTACAAATTCTAGTACTTTTTGAGTTGAGCCCCATCCGGGATTCGAAATTGAGAAGTAGACAAATGTTGAGAGTTGTGTTGACACATCTTTATGTTGAGGTGTAGATGATGCCAATGGTGGAGGATTCATAGAGCTCTGTTGCTGCATGGCAAGAATCACTTATTGAGTGGTGTTGGCAACAAAGTCGTTTGCTGGTGAAGGTAGATTAGTCTGTTGAACTTGGCTCAGACATGCCAGGTGTGCAAAGAGTCGTGATTGCGGTATAGTTGCCTGCATATACAATTAGGGCTGTGTGAAGCCCTGGACCTGCTGGAGACTCTGGTCCGGGATGGAGGGTTATCATTCACTTGAGCAGGTCCAACAACACCAGGAGTTGCGGAGAGGTCGAGGGCTTCATGCAGGTGCCGAATTTGTGTGACGTAGTAGTCAATTTCTCTGACCTTCTTGCACATGACATCTTTTTCTGTCCCAAAAAAGTGGCTTCTGAGGGCTTCCGGGAGGTGTCAGAAGATGCACCCATCACTTCTTCTTCAGGCTGTGTTTATCAGAGGAATTTACAGTATTCTTAACTATTTCAGCAGGTTGGTTCGTGTCAGTTGATGATGACCTGGACTCACACTGCTTCCTGTCATACTTATTCCCAACAACAAACACGTAATTCTGGAATTGGTCATCCGCAAAGGAAGGGCAGTGTACACATCTCATATCTCTGGAACACGTATGTTGACAGATCTCAGAAAGCCTTATTTATGTCAACAAAAACAAAATCCAACAAGGTCTAAAACTATTTACAAAATATTTAGCCAATAGTAAACAATACAGTATGATGAAGAAAAGTTTGAAGAATATAATCCAAGCACAAGTTTTCAAAAAGGGTTGATTTTTCAAGGATTATGAAGGCACTGTTGATTTTCCTCAACTGTCTCTTTTGGCACGAAAATCAGAGAGCGACGACTTCACTGACTGGTCACATGCTTACAGTGGAGTGACTGAGGTTGGGGTTGCGTTCATGTGTGATGTTTTTTCTGTTCTTGGGAAACACAGGCACTAGTTTTCATTACCCTTCGGAAAATGTAATTAGTATGAGACTTGATATACTGTTTGTGGTTCATACTTCTTAGAGATGAGTAATGCTCACATACCAAAATATACATGAAGTTCATTTTCAATAAAAGGTCCAACACAGACTCACCTTGAGTATCTGTCCATCATCAGGGTGCTGGTCCAGCACAAACTCACCTTGAGTGTCTGTTCATCATCAGGGTACTGGTCCAGCACAGACTCACCTTGAGTGTCTGTCCAATATCAGGGTGCTGGTCCAGCACAGACTCACCTTGAGTATCTGTTCATCATCAGGGTACTGGTCCAGCACAGACTCACCTTGAGTATCTGTCCATCATCAGGGTACTGGTCCAGCACAGACTCACCTTGAGTGTCTGTCCATCATCAGGGTACTGGTCCAACACAGACTCACCTTGAGTATCTGTCCATCATCAAGGTGCTGGTCCAACACAAACTCACTTTGAGTATCTGTCCATCATCAGAGTAATGGTGCAGCACAAACTCACCTTGAGTATCTGTCCATCATCAGAGTACTGGTCCAACACAGACTCACCTTGAGTATCTGTCCATCTTCAGGGTACTGGTCCAGCACAGACTCACCTTGAGTATCTGTTCATCATCAGGGTACTGGTACAGCACAAACTCACCTTGAGTATCTGTTCATCATCAGGGTACTGGTCCAGCACAGACTCACCTTGAGTATCTGTCCATCATCAGGGTACTGGTCCAACATAGACTCATTTTGAGTATCTGTCCATCATCAGGGTACTGGTCCAACACAGACTCACCTTGAGTATCTGTCCATCATCAGGGTGCTGGTCCAACACAGACTCACCTTGAGTATCTGTCCATCATCAGGGTGCTGGTCCAACACAGACTCACCTTGAGTATCTGTCCATCATCAGGGTACTGGTCCAACACAGACTCACCTTGAGTATCTGTCCATCATCAGGGTACTGGTCCAACACAGACTCACCTTGAGTATCTGTCCATCATCAGGGTACTGGTCCAGCACAGACTCACCTTGAGTATCTGTTCATCATCAGGGTACTGGTCCAGCACAGACTCACCTTGAGTATCTGTCCATCATCAGGGTACTGGTCCAGCACAGACTCACCTTGAGTATCTGTCCATCATCAGGGTACTGGTCCAACACAGACTCACCTTGAGTATCTGTCCATCATCAGGGTACTGGTCCAACACAGACTCACCTTGAGTATCTGTCCATCATCAGGGTGCTGGTCCAACACAGACTCACCTTGAGTATCTGTCCATCATCAGGGTGCTGGTCCAACACAGACTCACCTTGAGTATCTGTCCATCATCAGGGTGCTGGTCCAACACAGACTCACCTTGAGTATCTGTCCATCATCAGGGTGCTGGTCCAACACAGACTCACCTTGAGTATCTGTCCATCATCAGGGTACTGGTCCAACACAGACTCACCTTGAGTATCTGTCCATCATCAGGGTACTGGTCCAACACAGACTCACCTTGAGTATCTGTCCATCATCAGGGTACTGGTCCAACACAGACTCACCTTGAGTATCTGTCCATCATCAGGGTACTGGTCCAACACAGACTCACCTTGAGTATCTGTCCATCATCAGGGTACTGGTCCAACACAGACTCACCCTTGAGTATCTGTCCATCATCAGGGTACTGGTCCAACACAGACTCACCTTGAGTATCTGTCCATCATCAGGGTGCTGGTCAACACAGACACAGACTCACCTTGAGTATCTGTCCATCATCAGGGTACTGGTCCAACACAGACTCACCTTGAGTATCTGTCCATCATCAGGGTACTGGTCCAACACAGACTCACCTTGAGTATCTGTCCATCATCAGGGTACTGGTCCAGCACAGACTCACCTTGAGTATCTGTTCATCATCAGGGTACTGGTCCAACACAAACTCACCTTGAGTATCTGTCCATCATCAGGGTACTGGTCCAGCACAGACTCACCTTGAGTATCTGTCCATCATCAGGGTACTGGTCCAACACAGACTCACCTTGAGTATCTGTCCATCATCAGGGTACTGGTCCAACACAGACTCACCTTGAGTATCTGTCCATCATCAGGGTGCTGGTCCAACACAGACTCACCTTGAGTATCTGTCCATCATCAGGGTGCTGGTCCAACACAGACTCACCTTGAGTATCTGTCCATCATCAGGGTGCTGGTCCAACACAGACTCACCTTGAGTATCTGTCCATCATCAGGGTACTGGTCCAACACAGACTCACCTTGAGTATCTGTCCATCATCAGGGTACTGGTCCAACACAGACTCACCTTGAGTATCTGTCCATCTGTCCATCATCAGGGTACTGGTCCAACACAGACTCACCTTTGAGTATCTGTCCATCATCAGGGTACTGGTCCAACACAGACTCACCTTGAGTATCTGTCCATCATCAGGGTACTGGTCCAACACAGACTCACCTTGAGTATCTGTCCATCATCAGGGTACTGGTCCAACACAGACTCACCTTGAGTATCTGTCCATCATCAGGGTACTGGTCCAACACAGACTCACCTTGAGTATCTGTCCATCATCAGGGTACTGGTCCAACACAGACTCACCTTGAGTATCTGTCCATCATCAGGGTGCTGGTCCAACACAGACTCACCTTGAGTATCTGTCCATCATCAGGGTACTGGTCCAACACAGACTCACCTTGAGTATCTGTCCATCATCAGGGTACTGGTCCAACACAGACTCACCTTGAGTATCTGTCCATCATCAGGGTACTGGTCCAACACAGACTCACCTTGAGTATCTGTCCATCATCAGGGTACTGGTCCAGCACAGACTCACCTTGAGTATCTGTCCATCATCAGGGTACTGGTCCAACACAGACTCACCTTGAGTATCTGTCCATCATCAGGGTACTGGTCCAACACAGACTCACCTTGAGTATCTGTCCATCATCAGGGTACTGGTCCAACACAGACTCACCTTGAGTATCTGTCCATCATCAGGGTACTGGTCCAACACAGATCATCAGGGTCACCTTGAGTGTCTGTCCATCATCAGGGTACTGGTCCAACACAGACTCACCTTGAGTGTCTGTCCATCATCAGGGTACTGGTCCAGCACAGACTCACCTTGAGTGTCTGTCCATCATCAGGGTGCTGGTCCAACACAGACTCACCTTGAGTGTCTGTCCATCATCAAGGTGCTGGTCCAACACAGACTCACCTTGAGTGTCTGTCCATCATCAGGGTGCTGGTCCAACACAGACTCACCTTGAGTGTCTGTCCATCATCAGGGTACTGGTCCAACACAGACTCACCTTGAGTATCTGTCCATCATCAGGGTACTGGTCCAGCACAGACTCACCTTGAGTGTCTGTCCATCATCAGGGTACTGGTCCAGCACAAACTCACCTTGAGTGTCTGTCCATCATCAGGGTGCTGGTCCAACACAGACTCACCTTGAGTGTCTGTCCATCATCAAGGTGCTGGTCCAACACAAACTCACCTTGAGTGTCTGTCCATCATCAGGGTACTGGTCCAGCACAGACTCACCTTGAGTATCAGTCCATCATCAGGGTACTGGTCCAACACAGACCTACCATGAGTATCAGTCCATCATCAGGGTACTGGTCCAACACAGACTCACGTTGAGTATCTGTTCATCATCAGGGTACAGGTCCAGCACAGACTCACCTTGAGTATCTGTCCATCATCAGGGTACTGGTCCAACAATGACCTACCTTGAGTATCTGTCCATCATCAGGGTATTGGTCCAAAATGACCTGCAGTTGTTTGACAAGGGTGGGAAGCTCCATGCATCTGTAGCCATCATCTTCTGAATCTGTATGGAAGCACACATATGTGCAGATGAACATTTTCTTTTTAGCTGTGAGCCAAATTGAATTAATAATAAATATTAAATGGTTTGGCAGTGTGAACATTATTATGCACAGATTTCAAACACCAGCCAAACATTTAGTTATTTTACACAGATGTTTTACTTATTTAAATCAGTTCAGCAGATCGTAACCCACCAGTCGATTGTGTATCTTGGTCCATCTTGTTCCAGTTGTCACCACAGTTTTATGCTAAACAATGTCTTGTTGCAAGTTGTTGCTATCTGAAAAATCTTTAAGAGAAACAGCATTCGATTAGGTTCAGATGACAAAGGGATCAGACATCTGTTTCTAGGTTTGTATAAGCCTGAGCTGAGCTGTACTTCCCTTGTAGTCTAAATACTAATAATGCTCAGAAGGAAAGTCCTACTGAAAGGTGAGCCACATAATGCTGAGTCTCTATACTCTCCCTCAAAATGGTTGCCCTATGTGCAGGTGGTGCTCAAGTTTAAGCATCACACCACTTCAGGGACCAGATTATTTACTTCAGAGTCACTGCATCTTCCTATATTGATCAATGTTTCATGATGCAGGATGATAACGGTATACCACATCATGTCATGATTGTGCATGGAACAAAAGAGGAGGAGAAAGAATCGACTATCCACAAATATTGTCAAATAATGACAGCATCTTCCAACTGAATGGCAGGCAATTCCACATCCTTATGATAATAAATAGATCAATGTTTTATTGTGCACAACTGGCAATATCAATACAACCGACTGACTTAGACTGACCGATTGCTACAAGATACAATATATCTTCAATGTTGCTTCTGGGGGGGTCACTGGTGGACAGAGCCATTAGGTAAAGGTGTATTTTTGACAGTCAGCAGAATGAGAACTGTTGGATACATGTTCAATAACTTTGTCAATGTCAAGGGCATGAAAGTAACGATGAGGGGTGGTAACGTTGAATGTGGATGACAATTAAAAAACCTTCAAGGACTTCCCTTAGGACTATGACGCGCTCTCTTGTAGGAATTCACAGTGGCACAGAAGCAGACCATATTTGGCAATGGGGCCAGCTTTTAAGTACAACTGGACATCATTCACAGTGGTGTTTTGCTTCAGGGGACGTGTACCCTGTTTGATGCGGGAGTGGGTACTATGTAGATCCCGGCTTTCTTCTTGGAGGGCAAGCCATGCAGCTTGACTAGTTTTGCATCTCCCTTGAATGGGTATGAGTGACAAAAGTGGAAAATGAGCCATGGGGCACCTCCAATTCACAAGAATGACCCAAGTATGATCAAATCCGCAGAATTCCATGGATCCAAGGAAAATTCTTATCCCTTGATGATGTCATCAATGGACAGGCGGCAGACAAATGAGTCTTCTGTTTGTTTGCAGGCCTTGTGCTTTGATAGTATTATGCATGGGGAAAGGGCTGGGTAGCCGCAGCAATAGACAAGGCTTAAATGTCACAAGGTAACCAGGTCATCTACTGTCCATGAAGTTTTGTATGGGGATGATGATGATTTTATAGAGAAGCAAGTACAATATGAATGACCCCTAAAATTTATATATAAAGTGACACCACCTCCCCACCCTACCCCCAACCCGCATGTCATGAACACATTTTCTCTTCCCCTCCACCCCTCTTCCCATAATCTTTCAATATGTGTATATACAAAGTTGCTGACAGACCCCAACCACCCCACACCCGGATGTGTGTCAAAATTGATGACCCCCATATACCTCCAAAGAACAAGATGGTGATCACCCCACCCCTCCTAAAATCACCATCACAAACAACAAACCACCACCCCCTCCCCAAAGCCATATATTATGAACGTCTTCATGCTAACTACTTTGGTTTGTATGATTGGTATAAACTGCATCAGCAGAGCAGTTTGGACAAGAATTTTCCACAAACTTTATTGTGACTTTTCAACTTTAAAGGCACAATGTCACGCTTTCTCGACAATATGTTTGTCTATAAAATATATTGGGGTATATGCACTCACTATAGCTTCCTATTGATACAATAAATGACTTACTATCCCTTACGACTTGCCTGAAATTGATAGCTGAAACTTTGAGGCGAACAGCTTCCAAACAGATAACACTTGCCATATAAGGAATGTAAACGATTGCTCTGTACATCGAAAACTGTTTGACGCGCTGTTGTCGGTGTTTGCTGAACTGGCCTCAATACAAGTTACGTTATAGGATATTCGTAAAGAGCGTTCCAAGGGACATAACTCTATGGGGTTCGCTTGAGAAAAATTCGGTTGATAGAGGGCGCGAGAGTTTATTTAATGCAACATTGCATTAATTAATTCAAACTTTTTAATTTCATATTGTAATCTTAATACATAATTTTTGGGGAATAAATAATAAAGTAGCTTCACTGGGGGTTGATAGTTAGTATTAATGAGAGAAATGCAATACTGATTTGTAGAGAAGTGTGGCGTGATAGTGTGCCTTTAAATCAAAATGTCATAACTGCAACAATGGCAAAAATACTGATTTTGAAAAATCTAGTAAAAAAAACAGCTATGAAATGGAAAGAGTTGTTAGGCATCACATATATGGCTGTTTACAAGTATATTTGTGCAATAAATAGTCATTCTTCTAAATTGTTTTGATGCATTTATGACTTTTTTAGTTTTTAGCATGAGTGTAAACATTATAACTGAGGCAACAATAGCTCTTATCTCAAACAGTTATCAGAAAACGATAAAATATTGAATTCCTTATGATCCTCCCATAAGTTAAAAGGCTTCAAAGAAATAACTGGTTGTATAATTATAAATAATTTGTCTTGTTTTGGTAATGACATAAAAATTGCGGTAGTGACATGTCGTTTTGGTAATGACACAGAAATTGCGGTAGTGACATTTCGTTTTGGTAATGACACAGAAATTGCGGTAGTGACATGTCGTTTTGGTAATGACACAGAAATTGCAGTAGTGACATGTCGTTTTGGTAATGACACAGAAATTGCGGTAGTGACATGTTGTTTTGGTAATGACATTGACGTATTTAAGAATAAAGTTAAACAATTGCTTTTCCAAGTAATTGACTTGTTATAAAACATTAGATTTATGAACATAAAACATTGAAGCTTAATCATTTATTCATTGTAACCAGAGTTAGCTACAACAGACAACACACACCAGATCCACAGTAAATTGTTTGGTTCCCAAAGTAGATAACTTGAAATAACTTTGCCTTAAGGATCAATCAAATATCTTTAATGACATTTTCTAACTTGCTTTTACCAATTCAACAAGACAGATATATTATTTATCATGTTTAAGTGTTTTTACCATATTTTAACTATGAAAAATGTTATTTTCTTGTTAATTGAAAAATAATTTAATCTCAACTAACGAAGTAATTTATAAGCACTAACACTGGATTCAGAAAATCATGGCAACTGGTTTTATCATATTGTTATTTTATCAACTTTAATACTACTGTGAGACTAAATGTACAGGTTTGGATGCTTGGAGCATGGCGGTAATGACATTGTGATGCATTTTTTAAAATCCTTGTCCTGTAGTCATGTTCTCTATCCTAGCCCTACAATACAAGATACTTTGTATCATTTAAGACATAACAATGTATTATTTGTTGCATTCTATATGGGATTACTAGTGTTATCACATGTGTAGTAGTGACACATCATCACCTTCATTACCACAGTGTTGGTTAGGATAAGGCCATTTTCGTTCAAATTTAACTCTCCTGATCTTCCATATACTTATAAGTTCCTGTAATATATATTTCTGTAAAGTATTCAGAAGATGATAAATCCCTCCGGCCCCTACAAATTTGAAAGAACAAATCAGTTACTTAAAGTCCAACTTGAGGTTTTTAATCCAAATCATTTCCATGGAAATCATGAAAAATGTAAATGCAAAAACCTGTAAATAGCAAAAGGCACAAGTTCAAGGATTGTTTGATACATGTGCCATGTTTTGTTGAAAGATATTGAACGGTTTTCGAGTTGTGCTCCGAAAAAGAAGCCCACCCATCATTTTTTAAACTAATTCCAAAATGTTTTCATGGACACCAAGAAAAAGAAAAATGACAAAAATCTGCAAAAGGCACCACTTCAAGGTCTATTTCATATATCTGCCAACATTTTGGAAAGATATTGAACGGTTTTCGAGTTATGCTCCGGAAACAAAGCCCACCCCTCCCTTATAAGTCCAAAATGTTTCCATGGAAACCAAGAAAAATAAAAATGACAAAAAAATCTGTAAAAAGCAAAAGGCACCACTTTAGGTTCTGTTTGATATATCTACCAATTTTTGATGAAAAATATTAAACAGTTTTTTAGTTATGCTCCGGAAACAAAATGATTACGGACGGACGGGCGTACAAACAGACGGAGCGTCCACGACATCCCCCGCGTCCATTACATGCCCGGGGGGATACAATGCCGTCCGGTAATTCCGCGCACCTAAGCATCACAGCAACACGGCAACTAACGTCTCTTCTTTTTTTGTGGTTTACGTGAATAAAAATGCTAGTATGCATCACATTTACCTAGAAATATAAGTTTTATTGACGACTATAAGAATCTAACGTTGCTTATTACCGGCGTTCTGACGAAATCGCTTGCCTTCCGGTAATTCTGCGCAGTACTTGATGAGCATAACATCCAGCTGGAGATCCGAGGTATGGAAGCGTATAAGGGCCAGATTATTTTCAAAAATCACTTCATCAATGTAAGGAAGTGTGTTTCATATTAAATCCAATTATGAATAATGACGAAAACGGTTTAAAAGTCTGAAGAAAACGACGTTTCATACACTGTCAATTTATCTGTCAATTACTGTTATTTACTTAAGTTTAGTGATTAAAAGCCAGTCCCTGGTAGAAATGACCCGATTTCAAGCGTAAATGTGGTGGCAGACGATCTTTACCTTCGATACGGAAGTACGCTATTGCAGCTGCGCAGAACTATCGGACGCGCGGAATTACCGGACTCGCTTGATAAATAAGCCTTAGTTTGATTCAAATATACTAAATGCGTTGCGGTAATGACACACATTAAAATCACGCCGCTCATGATGGAAGAAGAATGGCGAATTCCACTCAAAGTCCTGTAATATGACATTCCTCCTTTGAGCTCATGGCCAGCAATGACGCCATCCAGTGGAAGCTGATCACGGGGTTTCAAGGGAGACTATCCATATTTGTATATATAGTCCTAATTCTCAGTCTGTTGCGGTAATGGCAATATCTTCAGGGCCATTTTTAAATCTGTTTTTTTCTTCAGATTTTCACCTCATAAATTCATATAAACTGTGAAAAAAATTGTACCATTAAAACATATTATTTAAAACTTACCCAAATACACACAATGATGTCCAATTTGACATTTCTACACCTCCAAAGAAATGCAAAGAAGTTGGAGGTTTGGACATGCCTAAATAACTTGATTTATCATCTTCTGTAATTTTCCAAAGTTTAGCCATGAAGGAAATATCTTTTATTTAAGGGGTTAGTATATGTTTAGTACCATATAATATGTATAAATATAAGTAATTTTCAGTAAATTATTTCATGCAATAAAACAGCATATTGCCTTTTTCTGTAGAATGGCCCACCTGATGATTCTCCAAGCAGGAGTTGTTAATGTCAGCTTGACATGGTTTGTGTTGTGTATGTGTTGTGATGTAACCATAGCAGGCTGCCGGGGACCTGCTATTGCACTGAATATGAGCTCCGGTACTTTCCATTGTATACAACAACGGGTCTGCGTGTTTGTAGTGGAGTAACGTTAGCGGGTGCCACACGAGGACCAGAATGGGTTCTGTGAAAAATGCGTCATATCGTTCAAGGGCATATTGCTGTGTTTACAAGGACACTCTCTTGGTTAATGGACTAAAATTGTATAATAATGTCTCAAATTGCATACCCACCCATGACAATCCGTATTATGCACTGTCTTACATACTCATGGAAACGAATAAGGGAACAACTGAAAGTACAAGTATTCTTTTATATAGTGTCTCTTCTCTGAAGAGTTCCTTTCTGCCCACGACTACAAATGATCATGATTGATTATGATAGGAATATGACCGTCTGTTGCAGGACAATCACATTTATGTTGAAATCTGTTGGAGGGCTTCTGTTCAATGTTCAGCCTATTGGATACTTTTATCGTGAACGCGTGCGGATTCTAACACTAACATTCATCTTACTTTGTTTCGGAGGGAGTTTGCTCCCTGGATAAAACACTCAGCGACATCCTACTTAGTCTCTCGTACAGACCCTGAAGCAAATATATCCAAGAAAGCCCACACAAGTCTAGAAAAAGTGGCAAGTCTAGATTTCCTCAGCTTCAGGTCTGAAAATGAAGAAAGTCTCAGGGCTCCTTTTCATTATATTTTATTTTTTTTCTACTATGAACTTTTTTTTCAGTAAAATATGTTCATTTCAGAGACTAGTTGTTAGTCTACATCCTACTCAACTGTCTGACTTTGATACAGATGCGATAGGAACAATAACACTCCCTTTGCGTCATGGCCTGATACATTTTATGTTAAACATACATTCACACATACACATCTGTCTCCCCTCTTGCATGTTACTATGAAGCAACACCTGGTCTTAGGCAATCACACAACAATAAAAAAGAGATATTTCAGTAGAAGAGACAAACTCACCTGCAATTCACGCGAACAACGTCCCATTAACGACGTGCAGTAACTGCAGAAGGAAGGAAACACACAGAGAATATATACGACCGTCACAGACATGGTACGTGCAATTCGTCACAGCATAATCATGTTCTTGGAAATGAATTTCCTATCAATAAGGTGACGAGATATGTCCTTATATGGTTGTAATCGGTATCACATGTTTCGTGACTGTAATGTAGTCAGGTTGCACAACACAACCTCTTGATAACAAACCCGTGAAGAGCCACCTCCTCGTGGTGGGTGCTGGGTAACGCTAAGCGCTCTTCGACCCCCCGTTGTGGACCCGGGGGTATATTTGGTCCACCAACCTGTTGGCCGTGGGTTGCGCCCCTGTGTCGGTGGAGGAAGGGATTCTGGTGGTTGAGGGCACTGGTTCCAGGAACAGCCAAGCCCTGCGCATGGTGATGATATTTGCACTTTAAATTATCATTGGGCTTTGGTTATTTTGATTATCATTATACAAACAATTATTATATTTAATTGCCCAGAGTCCTTTGCCAGAAGGCGGTGGCTCATGGGCCAATCTGGTGATAATGACCTCCAAATGATGTATGTCTCTGGTCTCTGTTATAGGCCGAACCAGCCGGACATTAAATTGGTAGATAAATGCAGCTGTTTGTGTCGTTTTCTCTGGCGTATGACACCCCTGTATCCCTGGTGTCGGCATCTTGAATACCCGGTGCTATCTGACACTGTCCTTGTTGACACTCCGTGGTGGGTGGGGAGCAGGGGTGCCGAATCACTTTCCTTTCACCATGTCTCAAACACAAGCTGGTTCATCAAGAAATGAAAAAAGAGGCGTCTAAATGAAATAGATCACTCTATTGAAAATTCTGCAAACGACGAATCATGGGCTCGTTTCCTGGTTATTGAAGCTACGGATTTTCTTCCGATTAAGCTAAACCCATTTGCTATTTCGAAAGCGATCTCTGGGATTTGTGGCGAGGTTAGAAATGTTACTCGTCTCCGTACTGGTTCACTTCTGGTGGAATGTGCACGGAGACAGAATTTGTTATCAATTAAAACATTTGCCAATGTTGAAGTTGCTGTGTCTGTGCACAGAAGTCTGAATACTTGTCGTGGTATCATACGTGACAGGGCCCGCTGTCTGTATGATATGAGTGAAAGAGGACGTTGCTGAGGAGCTTGTAGACCAAGGTATTACGGGAGTGAAACGTTTCACAATCAAGAAAGAGGGCATTGTAACAAAGACAAACACGTATCTCTTGACTTTTGCTAGATCTTCACTCCCGCAGTCGATAAAGGCAGGATATTTTAACATCGGAGTGGATGTGTATGTCCCCTATCCACTCCGGTGTTATAAGTGTCAACGTTTCGGTCACGGGTCACACTCATGTCGAAACTCTGCAGTGTGTAAATCGGTGTGGAGACCGCCATGAGGGTACCGACTGTGACAGAGACTACAAATGTGCAAACTGTGACGGCCCGCATTCTGCTTCGTCAAAGTCCTGCCCTGTGTATCAGAGGGAAGCAAAAATCATGAAAATAAAGTGTGAAAAGAACATTTCTTATCTTGATGCGAAAAAAAGCTTCATTAATCAGTCCTCAACTCCTCTGAATGTTACGTATTCCGCTGCAGTCACCCGCACTGCAACAATGTCCTCTATTGCTTGTCAGACTGACTTGACTTGGGTCAGGTCAGAAAAACCTGTTTCAGCTGTTCCACGAAAGTCCTCAGTTACTGATCCTATGTCCCCAGCCACACAGTCTACTTCTGCTTCTCAGACTGTGAGTCAGCCTGAGATACAATGAAAATCAGTTAACAAACAGCCTCACTCAGCCAATTCAGCAAAAGAAAAAGAAAAGAAAAACAACACAGAAAAGAGACACCTTCTGTCCCTTTACCTTCAGAACTCCGTCTGGAGAACCCCTTTGGACCTCTCGACATGGAGGTCACACTGTCCTCACAGGACAAGCGGAGGAATAGCTCTTCCTCCCATTCACGAGAGAGATCTCCAATTGAACCACCATCATGAGTGAATTGTCTGATATAATTCAGTGGAACTGCAGAGGATTGAAGAATAACTTCAATGAAATACAGTTACTAATTCAAGATCTTCAACCGTCAGCATTCTGTCTACAAGAAAAGTATGATACATTTGATTTAAGGCAGTACAAGTGTCATCACTCATTTTCTCCTCCAGGAGATAAAGCAACTGGAGGTGCTACTATACTAGTCAGAAATAATGTCATTCATAGTGACGTTCACCTGCAAACTAATCTTCAAGCTGTAGCTATTCACCTTACTTTGCAAATTGCATTTACCCTATGCTCACTGTACATTCCACCTTCATCTGCTCTTCAACAATCTGATCTTCAGAATCTATATGATCAACTACCTAAGCCCTGTATCATCATGGGCGATCTGAACGGGCACAACCCTCTGTGGGGCAGTACAAGTACAAGCAATAAAGGTAAGGTAATTGAAGATTTTATTTCTGATAATAATTTATGTATCTTTAATGATGACTCAGCCACTTATTTACATCCAGCTACGGGAACATATTCTTCCCTGGATCTATCACTTGCTGACTCCATCTTGTATAATGAATTCGAATGGATGGTACATGATGATCTATGTGGGAGTGATCACTTCCCTGCCATTCTCAAGACAATCAACCCTGGTGATGATCCACCTTTATCGAGAAGGAACTTCGCCAGGGCTGATTGGTCATTATATGAGACATTATGTGCTGATCACTTAAAACATGATGTATTTGCGAACAGTGAAGATCCGATACAGTTGTTTTCCGATTTACTCAATGACATTGCTGACCAAACTATACCTAAGTCCTCTGCAGTTCCACATATTCGTAAGCCATGGTTTGATAATGAATGTAAACAGGCCAGAAAGAGCAGGAAGAAAGCTGAAAATATTTTCGGCGACATCCTACTGTCCATAATTTGAATAAAGTAAAAAATTTTAAATGCCAAGGCTCGACGTACATTTAAACAGAATAAGCGTCAGTCTTGGAGGAAATATGTTTCCAAAATAAATTCACGCACACCGATTTCAAAGGTATGGAACATGATCCAAAGAATTAAGGGCAAAGGTTCCAAATCTACTGTTCACCATCTGAAGGATGGTGACAATATATTAACTGGTAAGTCTGACATTGCCAATAAGCTTGGTGAAACACTCGCCAAACACTCTTCTTCGTCAAATTACGTCCCTGAATTTCAACAATATCAGAAACAACAGGAGAAGAAGAGAATAAATTTTAACTCAGACAATGGCGAAGACTATAATGAATTATTTTCATTACATGAGCTCCACACTGCCCCTTGAGCAAGCTCATGACACAGCAACAGGAGCTGATAATATACACTATCAGCTCTTGAAGCATTTACCGGAATCATGTTTGGAAACTCTTCTAAATATTTTTGACACAATATGGACTTCAGGGAATTTCCCACCTTCGTGGCGTAATGCCATTGTAGTCCCTATACCAAAGCCTGGCCGGGATCATACTGATCCGTCTAATTACAGACCAATCTCTTTAACGAGTTGCGTCTGTAAAACCATGGAACGAATGGTAAACAATAGATTAACATGGTATCTTGAAACCAATAACCTTATAACCAATATTCAATGTGGTTTCAGGAAAAATCGTAGTACCATTGATCATTTGGTACGACTAGAATCCTTTGTCAAAAATGCAATAGTAAATAAACAACATGCAGTATCGATATTCTTTGATCTTGAGAAAGCATACGATACCACCTGGAAGCATGGCATTTTAAAGGATTTACATGATTTTGGTTTAAGGGGTCGTTTACCTCTTTTTATATCACAGTTTTTAACAGACAGGCAATTTCAAGTCCGAGTGGGTTCAACCCTGTCTGACCATTATAATCAGGATCAGGGTGTCCCACAAGGCAGTATTTTGTCTGTAACATTGTTTAGTATTAAGATCAACAGTTTATCCAAGGTTTTAAATGATTCAATTGATGGATCACTTTTTGTGGATGATTTTAACATTTCTTGTCGCGGTAAGAATATGCATACTATTGAACGGCAACTACAGTTGTGTTTAAACAAAATAAATAAATGGTGTCTTGAAAACGGCTTTAAATTTTCTAAATCAAAAACTAATTGCATACATTTCTGCCGTAAATATAAACCACATAAAGACCCAGAACTGTTTTTAAATGGCACTCCCATCAAGGTTGTAAAAGAGGCCAAGTTCTTGGGTCTGATTTTCGACTCCCATTTAACCTTTCTTCCGCATATCAAATCCCTAAAAACTAAATGCCTGAAGGCACTTGATTTATTGAAAGTCGTTTCTAATTCAAAGTGGGGAGGGACCAAACTACCCTCCTACACCTATATAGATCACTGGTCCGCTCGAAGCTTGATTATGGCTCCATCGTATATGGTGGAGCCTGCAAAAGCAACCTAAAACTATTAGATTCTGTCCACCACCAAGGTCTGAGACTTTGTCTTGGGTCATTCAGAACATCTCCTGTTGACAGTCTCTACGTCGAGGCAGATGAACCATCTCTTACCCAACGCCGTATAAAATTATCATTACAATATATTACCAAACTATATTCTAACGAGTCTAATCCTGCATTTCACTGCATCTTTAATCCTCTTTATGAGGATTTGTACAACAAGAAATCTTCTCTTGTTCCGCCTCTTGGGCTCAGGATTAAGCCATTCATTACTGCTGCTGGCATTGAGCTGGAAAATATATCTCCTTCCCGTCTTCTTTCTTCTCCTCCTTGGCAATTGGTTAGGCCACAAGTCGACCTAACACTCACTAAATTTAAAAAATCAGAAACTAATGACTTACTATATAAACAAGAATATAATCAATTAAAAGTAAATATAATACATATAAATCCTTATTTACAGATGGGTCCAAGGATGGTGGCGCGGTAGCTTGTGCCACTGTCATTGGGTCCAAAACAATATCTTCCAGATTACCCAATGACAGTTCAATTTTCACAGCAGAAGCAAACGCAATACTAACAGCTCTTAAATATATAAATAGACACCCTAAATATAAACAATACATAATCTTTTCTGACTCTCTTTCTTGCCTTCAGGCGATTAAAAATATTTCTTGTAAA